ATACAAACATTGTCTGCGAGTAAGGAGTAAAAAAGTCTGTGATTTATGGTATTTTGCTTCCTTACAATATTTTTTATAACACATTCATCTGTAACATGTTTTGATTGCCCACATTATCGGATGCAGCATGCATGCAAGGGATGAAGTCAAGCAGTTACTTGATGCTAATTTGTTTCATTCATGCAAAATTTGGCAGAAGCTATATAACTGAAGCTTGAAGCTTCTCTTCCTATTTCTCAACGATTTCATACCTTAAAACCATCTGAAACACCTACTTGTTTTTGTTATTTAACATCCTCTCTAAATTTTGATATTTCTTGAGGATATTTCTATCTGGAATGCATCCGATTTTATTTATCCAAGAGAATTAAGAGTACATCAATGCAGCCAATGATGCTGCTACAGAAAATAAACTGTAAAAAACGGACTGTCAAACATGTGTGCCCACAATTAATTTCTCACATTGTTTGGAGGAAGCCCTTGCACAGGCAAAACCAAGAATCTTGCTCCTGACTTCAAACTGGATGTCAGCAACTATAGCCGCTTGGGTCTTGAACAACTGCTTGTGAATCCTTCTATTCCTCTCCATCCACAAATACTGGGAGTCTATTTTTTTCTGGCAAGCCTTTGTAGTTTATATGTCAATAATAGCAAGCCAACTTATAAAACATTGCTTAGGTATAGTGTCTGAGAACCGGACTAGTTTATACCAAGGCTTCTTCATTCACCTATTCTTTAAAATCTATGTTAAGCCGCTGTCAGCCACATGTAATTGATTATATCAAATTGTTCAAAAGGCTAACTAACCTTGCAAGTGTTGGAGTACGTCTTGGGATTAGAAAATAGATCATTGACCTCAAAGTATGTTGTAAATGTCACTTTCTTTTAGATTATTTTTACTCCTGTTATTTCGGTTTGCAAAGGGAGTTAACTAAAAATGCTTACAAGATACAATAAAATTATATTGATTATGCCTTACATTGATGAAATCAACCACTAAATCTCACGATTTCAATTAGCAAAACTATCATTTTCATATAAGAATTTCTGTAATATTCATTGGATAAAAGATGACTATTAATTTTATTCTAATATTAGCAAGGTATTGTTCATATTGAAATCTATTTACTCTCCATTAAGATTTTATTTTCTATAGATAGGACTCTCTCTTTCAAAAGGATGAAACCAAAGCTGTTTACAAATGGTAAGTGCTTTTTTTATTAAAAAAATACCTCTTTACAAATATGCCCTTTATTTAAAAAGTTTTAACATAAAAATACATCTTTTTATTTATGCCATTTCTAATCATTGTCTTCTTTTATTTATTTTAAAAGTTTCTCCAACAGCAAGTTGATTAATAGTTTACGGTTTTAGTTGTACTGGTTATGACATCTTGAGCAGCCACGTACACATCATGTGGACCTCCCAACAATGTACTTAATTGATGCCTTCTTTGTTGCTGACTTAATGCTATTCGATTCCTGAGGTTCCTTCACTACATATCATCTTCCTACCTTCGGAGCTTCAGATTCAGGTCCATCTTCTCTCAACAGAGATGGAAGAAGCATCCACCTTTCTTGAGAAAAAAAGGTACTTGTTTCTGCTGGAATTTGTTATTTTTACACTCTCCATGTTTTCTTCGGCCTTTTATCTTTCCTTCTGTCATCTCTCAGGTATGCAGTGGTTACCGGAGCAAACAAGGGGATTGGATTGGGAATATGCAAGCAGTTAGCTTCCAAAGGGGTGGCTGTTGTTTTGACTGCTAGAGATGAGAGAAGGGGCATTGAAGCTGTCGAAAAGCTCAAAGAATCTGGTCTCTCTGAATTTATCCTTTTTCATCAACTTGATGTTGCAGATCCAGCCAGTATTGCTTCTCTAGCAGATTTCATCAAAACCCAGTTAGGAAAGCTTGATATCTTGGTACATCATGGGTTACAGTTTTTCAATCTCTCTATTTTATCAGTGTATATTTATTCAATAATGTTTTCCTGTTGCCCTGAAGAATCCATTAGCTGCTTCGATTACATTTACAGAATCAGGGACAGCCATTTATTTACCTAAGTAGGGATTAAGGAATTCACTTTTAGTATTCTGAGTACTAGTTCTTTGTGCTTTTCAAGAACTGAAAATTTCCTAAGAACCCCCAAACTGCTAGCTTCTAATTATTTTATTTTCCCCACATTCATATGTAATGAAATGCTGAATGATTTTGACATCATCAACCATGTTGTAGGTGAACAATGCAGGAATTACAGGTGCCTTAGTAGATGGTGATGCTCTAAGAGCTTCAGGCTTTGGAAAGGTAAATGTTCTGGCTAATCCATTTTCTTGCTTTGAAGTTTTTTGCTTGCAGTAGAAAATTTAATTTCTGCTTATTAACCCAGCCTGGTGTACAAATCAACTGGAGTGAAATTATTACTGAAACACATGAGTTAGCTGATGAAGGCCTCAAAACAAACTACTATGGTGCTAAACGAATGTGTGATGCTCTAATTCCCCTACTCCAGTTATCTGATTCTCCAAGAATTGTGAATGTTTCTTCCTCCACGGGAAAGTTAAAGGTAAAAGGTCATAACCTTAGTAAGCAACCTAAAAATTTCAGAATGTATTAAAGTGGGTTAAACATTGCTAAATTTGAAGTGCATATTTCAGAATGTATCAAATGAATGGGCGAAAGCAGTCTTTAATGATCTTGAAAACCTTACTGAAGAGAAAGTGGATGAAGTATTGAACCAATACCTGAAAGATTTTAAAGAAGGATCATTGGAAACCAAAGGCTGGCCTGCTAATATGTCTGCCTACACACTCTCAAAAGCTGCCATGAATGCGTACACAAGGGTTCTGGCCAAGAGGTACCCGGATTTCTGCATCAATTGTGTCTGCCCTGGATTTGTCAAAACCGATGTAAACTATAATACTGGAATCCTGAGTGTTGAAGAAGGTG